TGCTGGCCTCTCACGGGGGATGCATTTTAATTAGATGTAGCCTTTGCCTCTGCAGCAGCTTCTGCAGGCAGAGCAGAGCTTTTGGAAGCGCTGATGGAATTATAACGATGTAGAGCGGGCTTAGCTGTGGTGCAGTCCCTGTTAGTGGGAAGAAGGATGGGTGAGACTGTGAAGCAGCATCTTGGAGCCAGTGGTTGGCACAGCTACAGCATATGGAGGCTGATGAGGATCATCATCTGACAGTTCTTCCTGCTCCGTATTTTAATTGTTGCAATGTACCAAAGTCAATTAATCTTGCTTTGAAAAACTTGGAGTGGAAGGGGGGAGGGGGGGAGAGTTATTTTAGGCCTCAGATGACACAAATGAGCAGGGCCTGATGAGAATGTAATTTGCCTCGATGTGGTAAACCTCTGTGTGTTATCTGGCTTCTCACAGGCAGCTCATGCAGGGCAGCATGGATCCCATCAGGTGTTTCTCCGTGCTGGCAGTTGTCCCGGGCAGGTGGGATGAGGGGGGTGAGATGTGATGCTGGCTTGGGGAGCACAGCACCAGCTGTCCCACTGGGTTCCTGCCTCTGTGTTCTGCAGCTAATGCTTTTCTTGTAGGCTTTTTTCCCCTGTATCTGGGCAAAGGTGAGTATCTCCTTCACTGTATGGGTGAAGGCAGGGCCCCGAGGTCATGGTGTGTCCTAGCACCCTGTTCCCCTGTCTCATCTTCCTCCTACCTGGCCCCATCTGCCATCCAGGGGCTGATGTGCTAAAGCCAAGATGAGCTGGTGATGCAAGGAGCTTGCTTTTTTTTTTTTAAACCAAAAGAGCAGAAGGGCCCTGCAGCCTCCATCTTACACCTTTCTTCTGCTGGAGTGTGGGAGCAGGGGGAAATGGTGAAGCACTGTGAGCTGCTGAGCTGTCCCCCCTCTGCCCCCCTCTCTGGGGCTGCTCCCCTGTGCCAGGGGAGTTGTTACCTGTGTGCAGCAGAGTGGGGGCTCCTGGGCAGGTTTAGGAGGGGAGAAGGATGAGCCCCATCTGCTGCCCCCAATAAAGGTCCTAGCCTTCTCCCCTTCGTGTCACTTGTTTATCTGGAGTCCCCTGTTGCTCTGCTGGCTGCTCAGGGCCGGATTGCGCACCAGACATGCATGGGAGCCCCCTGGAGATGGAAACCCCGTGTGGGTGGCAGTGTGGGCTGCAGGCCAGACTCCCACGGAGCTGCGCCGAGCTCAGAGGCGTAACGTGGGGGCAGGATGCTCTGGTTCCCCCCTTCACCCCTCAACACCCTCGGCACCCCTGTGATTCAAGCCTGCGTGTGCAGCCAGCAGCGTCCCTGTTGCGTAAGGCTTGGCGGGGAGCTGGGGACTGAATGAAACGGAGGAGGAGCTGCAGCTAAAATGATCAAGGAAACTCATTCATTTCCTCTAGTAAGTAGTATCCGTCCAGCTAATAACATGGTGGGGAGGCTGGCAGGGGTGGTTTCACTGGGAGGGGCTGGGAGGGGGCTGCGGCTGCTCACTCCCACGGTCTTGGGTCCTGTCCCTGTGGGGGAAGGCTGGTGTCCCCCTACGGGGCCATGGCCCCCTGCTCCCGCTGGGCCTGGCAGCACTTCTCAATGGGATGCGTGTTGACAGCTGTGTGGGTGCTGCCATGGCGCCGCTCCTCCACTGGCAGCTATTAATAGCAGCTGCGGATTTTAATTGCCGCTGCTCAGGGGGGAGGGTGAGTCACGCAGCCCCTCCACCGGGCTGGCAGACCCTGGCCTTGAAGCAGACCTTTGAATTCCTGGGGCTGTGGTCACCTCCAGCTCTTCGTTCCCCTGAGCTGGCCTTCCCCTGGCAGCAGAGCCCTGTGGCTCCCTGGGGCTGTGCTTTGGCTGCAGGACCCCCAGAGCAGGAGCTGGTCTCGCTGGGGATGGCCAGCCTTTGAGCCCATGCCACTGAATTGCTCAGGCCCCAGTCCTGCCCCATGGCACCCTGAGTGCCACTCCAGGGCCCCCAGCGTGTCCCCTTGCAGCAGGACTGTGGCCTGGGTGCTGCTGGCAGGACCAGCTCTGCCCTCAGCCAGGCCCCTCGGGGGTTTTGGGGCTCCTGACCCCGCTTTGCCACAGCACCTGGGGAGGCGACGCAGCGGTTGGTGGCAGACACCTCATCGTGCCACCGGTGGCAATGCAGGCAGCTGTGTTCACAAAGCCCG